AAAATTCAAACCAAAGTGAAAGGGTTGTTTGTGAACAAAAACATAAAGATGAAGGGTCAATGTTGTAAGTTGGAGGATCAAAAATGAAAAAAAAGGTGCCACTTTACTGTTAAAATCCAAACCAAAGTGAAAGGGTTGTTTGTGAACAAAAACATAAAGATTAAGGGTCAATGTTGTAAGTTGGAGGACCAAAAATAACAAAAAAAAGGTGTTACTTTACTGTTAAAATCTTTCAAAACTTTAATATATATATATATATATATATATATATATATATATATATATATATAATAATAATTTAAAAAATAAATGGACTTAGTAAGAAAATAATAATAATAATAATAATAATAATAATAAAAAAACAGATCACTAGCTTTTACTCTTTTAGGCCAAAAGAGAAATAGGAAAAGGAAAAACTGGCGTGCACCGATCCTTTTAAATCGGTTGTATCTGAGTGTGTCTCTGAAACTCCGTAGGAAGGTAAAGAAGTCTAATTGTCAGCCACCTGTAAAATGTAATTGATGCATCCAATTCCTCCGTCGTCAATTCCAAAGCCCCCTTCACTTCTCCCACTTCCATAAGCACACAACTCATTCTCCGATTCCTCCCACCATGAAGTTCGAACGCCCCTCTAAAACCCTCACCGCCACCGCCTCCAGCTCTTCTCAAGATGCTCGTTTGCTCGTCCGCGAAACTCTCAGAATCTCCGCCAATCTAGCATCTTCACCTCCGCCGTCGGTGGTTGCGCCTCCGGAGAGTAGGTCGTTAGAGGCCACGAGCTTCGGCCTCGTTGAAGACCAATTCGTTGATGCCAGTTTGAGATTGATTTGTTATGAGGAGGTCGACGGCCGTAGGTTTAAGTATTTGGCACATAATAATGGGAAGAAATTCAACAAGGGTTCCAATTCGATTCGTTCCGTCAGCTTGCAATCTCGTAAAGCTCCTGCAGATGTCGGTTTTTCCTTCTCTCTTTCAGTCTCTGTACACATACCTATTTCTTTTTATCTTCAATGCGCCTGTATTTCCAGTGGAATTTGTCTCTTAACTAATTGTTACTCATGATCACTTGAATTCCTCATTTGCTACTCAAATTGTTCGACTATTCTATGCTACATCGTATACAGAACAACAAAGAGATGAATCTTTCCTGTACTAATTTACACACATATCATTTCATATATGTGAGAATTTTTGTTGCTGTATCAGTTTCAGTATCCATTGATACTGAGTAATATACATATTCATGCGAATAATTTAGATAAAAATTGCAGGAGTTGATTTCGTTTATAAGATCCTATGTGGTTCCAGAAGGCTTCCCTGACAGTGTTAGCCCTTCATATGTGCCCTACATGACATGGAGAGCTTTAAAGGTACACCCTTAAATCATTAAAAGGAATACCACTTACATACAAAAATCCTCATAAGTCTCTTGATGATCAATTGTCAATTATGTCAAATTTTAATTTAGCATTTCTTTGGTGGAGCAATGGGCGTCTTCACCACACAAGCACTTCTGCATTCTGTTGGTGTCTCCAAAAGCCAAGCTATGCCTGGTGCTGTAGCTATCAACTGGATTATCAAGGTAAAGAAAGGAAATAATTAGTTTCTGATGAAAACCAATTTAGGGTTGCTGTTTCTTACATAATAAAATTCTTTTTTTTTTTTTTTTTTTTTTTTTTTATTAGGACGGTTCAGGGCGAATTGGGAAAATGCTATTTTCTCGGCAAGGAAAGAAATTTGATTATGATTTGAAGCAGGTGAAGTGAATTTATCTACCTAATTTTGTACAACTCCAGAAGATTACAAATCTCATTATTATTATTATTATTATTTATTTATTTATTTTTATCTTCTTTTAGCTTCGATTATCAGGTGACCTTTTGATGGAGTTGGGTGCCGGTGTAGAATTAGCCACTGCAGCTGCACCTCACCTCTTTCTTCCTCTTGCCTGTGCTGCCAATGTTGCAAAGGTTTTACTTTTACCACTTTCCTGACTCCATTAGACACAATGTGCCTGATACATGCATACTATATCATATATGTTACGCATCAGGCACAATATGCATGGTGATGAATATGATAGATTAGTTGTGAAAGTGTATCATGATCTAAATTTGATTGTAGAATGTTGCTGCTGTTACATCGACATCAACACGTACTCCAATATACAAGGCCTTTGCAAGGGGTGAAAACATAGGTGATGTTACTGCCAAGGGAGAATGTGTTGGAAATGTTGCAGATTTGGTATGCCACTTTAAATATATA